AAATAGGAACTCTAAAATGACATCCTGATGGCAACAGCTGAAACACAGAGTACAACAGGTGATCCGGGGTGCATAGAATACCCTGAGCTTTCTTTAAAACACCAGTACGGTATATTACCATTGGACTAGTTTGGTTAAAACCAAGATCTTGCCTGCCAACTTTAGCAGGCTATTCAACCTGTTCTTGTTTGACACACTCAGATTACCGTACCAAGCTACAATGCAAAAAGATATAACAGATTCAATAAATTGTTTATAAAACAATGTAATCATAGAGGTACAAACCTGAAATGATCTAAGTTTCCTCAGAAAAAAACAGTCTTTGTTGGACTTTTTTACAGACAGCCTGGGTGTTAGGTTGAAATATCAAAATATTGTCAGTAACAACCCCTAGATATTTATGTGTGTCCACAAGGACATCTGCTTGACCACAAAGCTGATAAAGATGAACCAACTCACTAATACAATATGCTCAAAATATTTTGCTCAAAATATAAACAAATAGCTAACACATTTCTTTGAGCTATTAGATATACACACACACACACACACACACACACACACACACACACACACACACACACACACACACACACACACACATACACGTGCAAGCTCCCTCTCTGTCAGCCAGTGACTGATTCAAAGCAGGTCCTGGAGATCTAACATGTCATAACAGATGGGAAATCGGTCAAATACTGTGCTGGAAAGAGTAAAAAGTTTGACCTTTTTTATAACTTTGCAAATAATCACAGAACAGGCAGGTTGATCAATGTTTCACTGTGTGTTAAAGGATTTTCAATACACTTTATGGAGGTTCTTTGCCTCCATGTCATGCTTTTAGAATCCTTTAACGAATGGCAATTCCTTGATTATCTCTTACTAATTCATTGGCCCGGTTGTTGAATTATGATTCCTTACTTAAGGCTTTACCGACTACGTTTACAAGGATACTGACACCCACTTGGATACTTGACGCCATCTGGAGTTTTCAACATCTCAGTGGCTCGGATCACAATTTAATATTTAAAAAAAACTTATCTCTGTGTGACTTTGGTTTTACTGTATGTGCATTTAAGAACATATAAGCCACTTTTTTAGCACATAATAATAAACATTTTATGGTCAAATGAGTGCAGCAGTTGCCTTGATGATAAGTTTTGTCGATTTAAACATTTAAGCAGCAGAAAACATAAAAAAGAACTGAGTTTAACACGTCCTCATAAAAAAAAAAAACTGTTTTTCTGTGAGCAAAATCACACAATTTTCAACTAAGATCAATTTTCTTTCTTTCTTATTTGATGGTATTGCTAGAGGTGATCAGATAAGCCATAAATCTTTTTTGCCCACCTGACCATGACATCCTCAGCCAGCGTGGTGGACAGAGGCAGGATGTATAAACTGAAATGTATGGCTCGCATTTAGTCCTCCACAAATCAATAGTAACCTCCTTTGTTGATGAATGATGAAATTACAAAGTTATTTGTTGTGCTAGCTAAGCGTTCTCCACACACACACTATTAGGTTTAAATCACCTAGTCTTCCTCCCGCTGTCCGTTCTTCCCTCTTACATGCTGTGATTCATCAGCGCCGCTTTCTTCACCTCGCTGAAGCCAACGGATGCTGTTCTGGTTCCTATGGCAATGGCTATTTTTTCCTCTGATTAAGTGGAATTTGCTTGTACCTTTTAGCCCATCATGGCCGAAGGGTTATACAATAATGAAGCGAGAACAATTCAAATGGGCCAGACAGAGACGGGGGGTGGCAGGGCAACTGTTTGGATGAAATGGAGCAGGAATGTATCTGACACTGACCGTGCAGGGTAATTATCAAAGGAAACATTAAGAGATCTTCTCTTCCACATAATGAACTCAATATGATGTAAAGAGAGAAGACGTGTGGATACAGCTGGTTATTTTTATAGAATCTGAGGAACAAACTGTACAACAATATGACTGAAAGCAAAGCAGGTGATTTTACTGTTTTAGAAAGAAGTCACTCATATTCACCAGGACTAATATCGCGCAGAACTGGTATCTGTTGTGTTATATTTAAATATTTGATTTAAGTACAGTGATTAATAGGGGGATTTTCAGCACACAATAATTGAGGAAGCATTCTAATATACTGATATAAAGATGAAGATTTTGTTTATTGCTATCAGTGTTACCAGTAATAACTAATAGTCACACAAGTAGCTGTGCGATATGGCTCACCATTGGCTCAGAATGACTTAGTGTCCCACCAGTGCCAATATACAGCCATATCGCACTGCTACGAGATTTAGCATTTTTACAACAGTTCGACTGCATAATTGTATGTATAAAAAAGAAAATTAAACTCTGAGAGTTTAAAAAAATCCTTTTGTACGAGAAACTACTTTTCTCCGTTATTCATTCACATCTGCAGCTGACATCAGAACAGCAGAAACTGTTGCCAGTTCACAAACGTTACTCTAGAGCTAGTATTGGAATGATTCTCTAGTGTAATGTCTAAAGTGATGACAAAACAGGTAATGTTTCCTCACATCTTAAAATTATAAGGTTGAACGGTATGAAATGCCATCCATCAGATAATCTACAGAGATTTTGTAGAATTTCTCTGTTGCAGTCGGGATTTCACAATAATTAATCCCCAAAGAAGACAGAGCAAATCAAACACTACCAGTTTCTAAGGTATAAATGCAGCGCTACAAATTCAAAAGAGAGATCAACTCAGAATGTCACTTACCTGATTTATAATGATTTGTTCAGCTGTAGTTTGAAATGTATATTGAGAAAATGTTGTTATTCTCCAAGGACTTATCATGCAGTCTTGGTTAACCATCACATTCTTTGGTCTTCTCAGACTGGTTGATGGCGCCCGATGCACTGAATCCAATGCTCTAAAATTAAATATATTTTAAAACAGGCACTATCCTTATAAATAAACTGCCTATTTCCAATCTAAACAAAGATCTAGAGACCTAAAAAGCCTCAAAAGTAAATTATGTTGTCCAACAGTGGAAAAATTTGTCACACTCTAGAGTGTACTCTGCTTGTCGCTGTAATTATAGACAAGAGTGAAGGGTGAATAGGCAGTACGAGTGCGGTTATTTGTAGAAAATTGCACGGCTATCAGCCAATCAGATTAGTGATGGGCAAAAAACTTGGGTTAAAAAAGTCTTATCACAATTAAAAAAAATCTTAATCACAGAAAAGTCTATTAATCACAATTATTTTGTTACTCACAACATTAAGAGTATTCCACACTTTTAATAAATAAATAAGAAAGAAACCTTTCTAAAATGCATCTTTGGAGGCAGCATCTATTTTTTTGTATACACAGAGTTTTAATTGAAACCGTTTTGCTGATCCTTTGCAACCCCTTTATGGCTGATTGAGCCAAGAATTTATAAACTCTATACAATACACTGCTAATTATTTCTCACAGTTCACAAGCATGGCGCGACGGGATTTACCCAGTGTTAGGACAAGAAGTTTTTTTCTTTTTTTCTTTGCCAATTAAGAAAGTACTTTTTCATTTTCTTTAACCCTATAGCATGCATACTTGCTATTTCTCTTGCTGGTAACAAATAATGGAATTGTAAACTTAATGGATTTCCAACAAATGTTTATGGCACAGTGGCTAAATTTACACCAAATTTTCTAAATGGAGTAGTAACATTATACTGGACAGTTTAGTCAAAAATGGCACGCTTCTTTTGAGTTTTGCAACTGAGCTTTGTATGAGTTCTAGTGAATCGGTTGGATTAAATATTCAACTCAGAATAAAATAAATTGACTCTTCACAATGCATTCAGTTCCCTCAAAATCAAATGGTATTTAAAAATGTTCATTAGTTCAATCATTTACTTATTCATTTGTTTGATTGTTTGTTTGTTCGTGAGTTTATTCATTTGTATTTATTATTTTTATATATTATTTATGATCATTTTAGACAAAAAAATGTAGCCACATGTCAATTCGACCACAGCATTTTTTTTAAATATCTTCCTTAGTGAAAATACCTTCTTTTTTGAAAATATGTGTAATAAATACAATTGTAAGTAAATCACACAATTTAATTTGAGGTAAATTATCCATTTAACACCCATCACCCATGCTGTGTTGAAGAATAACATATTGGACATATATTCAGCAAAAACATAGAGATATTCAGCAAAATTTTTTAATTTACTGGGATAAAATGTCCACAAATATCAGGTTCTTGTGTTTGTGTCATGTGATTTCCCTATATGCTGTGCTCCATGTGAGTTCTGTTTTGATCATGTCAATACTTTGTTCCATTTTCCTACTGTTTGTAATGTTTATTAGTTTCATCTGTGTTTCAGCCTTTTAAGCAATCTGTTCACTCAGATCCATTTAAGCTCCTGTGTTCAGTTTGTTCTTTGTCTGGTCGTAAATTATCATCCTCCTGTGTATTCCTGTAATAAACTATAAAATAAAATAGTGTACGGCTTCAGTAGACTGATGTATCATTTTATTTTATCACATAGATCAATTTATTTTATTTTTATCATTTTCTGGAAGAATATCATTCAAGGATTCTGCAAAAAAAAAAATAATAATAAATTCAGCGAGCTATTTCTTTAAGGCAGAATTGGACTTGAAATGTCATCCACTTAACCATACTTATGAAATGTATATCATTGATGCAGCCATCATTTGTAAGATTAAAGTTCTTGAGCCTAAGGAACAGACCATACTGTTTCAAATCTCTCTCTTTTTCCAGGCCACAGGTTGTACGTGAGAAACACACATCTCAAGCTTGGGCATCTATCAAGATGGATGCTGTGTATAATCGAACCAAACTTCTCATTTACTTGTCCTCTCTCTCTGCCTTTGCCTTTCTTGTGCCGGTGATGTGCGTTTTATTAGCATGCTCTGGGCTACAGACGAATGCTGCAGTTCAATGCCTGACACTGAGCTGCACTCGGGCATCCATCACAAGTGAAGGGGGCGCTATGGGTCACTGGCTTATGCTCTGTGTAATTACAGATGGATACCCACGAGATGAAATGATTTACAAGTGGAGGAGGAACTCGGTGCAGGCGGCCGATCAGAAGTCGTGGAGGCTTTACCAGTTTGACTTCATGGGCCTGAGGAACACCACTGATGTTATCAAGACGACCGCAGGTCTTTGTTTTCTGCTTTATCATTTGTTTTCTGATTTATTTGTTGAGCAGGTTTATATAAAGACATGTCAAATATAAATTATTTACTTTTTTCTCACATAGCAAATTAACACGCAACTTGACTGTTACATAAAAATAAGCTAATAGGTTAAATAACAAAATGGGATTTAAATAACAAACAAGTAAAATAAAAATAAAAGAACTAAAAATCAAAACCAGCTTAAATTTTGTTGAATAAAACGTGTTACAGTAATGTACAAATATTTAATATCTGAAAAAGCGTTTTGAGAGGTGTTTTAACAGTTCAGAGCAACTTTTTCAGTTGCCAACTTAGCAACTTTGTCGCTATATTTACTGACTTTTTAGACCCCCTAAGCAACAAATTTTCAAAAAAGCGACTAGCGACAAATCTATCGACTTTTTGGGTGTTACTGGAGATTTTTATAGACTCTCATGTGTCCATACTGTACCGTCCCTACTCTTCTCAACGAGCTGCGGGTGATGCCGTCTGCCCCTCCCCCAGCTCAGAGCACTGACAGGCGGCCCAGTCCTCATACAGCAGCCTCTCCCACCTGCAGCCTGAGCGCAGATTAGTCCTCTGCGTACCGACGGCAAATGATTTAGCACCGGGAGTGTGAGGTATATTTTCAGTCAAATCGATCGGCTTCTCTTTTATTTTAACAATTTAATTTGACCATTTATTCTTTTCATGTTCACAATCACAGATATTTTAGTGACAGTTTCGGAAGTTGACTGATTTTATTACATCTGAGAGACTGTACTCAAACAGCAATAAATTTAGTAAGCTGACATGCTTACATAAAGCGTAGTGCAAACCTAAATACCTCTTTAATATTAACTATAGGCTGTTAAACAGAAATGGTAGAACGTGATGATGTCAGTAATATGCAAATTGACGTATGACGTAATCTAGCATCATTTAGCGACTTTTCGGGCAGAGCTTAGCGCCTTTTCATTGAAAATAGTTGGCAACCCTGGTTCAAAGGCACTGTACAAGCAAAAAGCTAAATACAGATAGTATTACTGTTAAAAAATGCAGCCTAAATTCATCCCATTTGTCGTTTTAAATTCTTTTAAACACATGTAGCTGCTGATTGTCAATCAGACAACGGTTCTATGTTCTTTCTTGCTGTCAATTGAGGGAAAAAGGATCGATGAAAGGTTTATGATAAACTGATGTAGAGTCATATTTTGCTAGAAAATATTAAAAGCATTAAGCACAGATGACTTTATGACAAACAGTGCATAATATAAAGACAGAATGTGGTGGATGGTTGAGAACACCTATGCTGGATTCAGTGACTGCCGTTCATCTCCCCTTGCTGCTGTTTGGGGTGCTGTGAAGGCTGTCAGCTCACTATGTTTGTGCGTGCAGATAGGCACATCAATGGCACATGGCAAGCAACGTGTTGATAATAATAAGTAATCATATTCGATTACAAACAACCCATTCAGTTGTTTAGCATGTGTGCATCGCTGCTATAATGTTTACACATGGAATATTTTTTCTGAGCCGATTTAAACAAAAATACACAATGACACACTATCAAACATATCTACAATGACAATTAATATGGTTGCTTACTGAGTTATTAACGCCGAGCAATACCACATAAAGAGAGAACGGACTTTGAAGAAATAAACAATGTGAGGAAAGTTCCGTTATAGTGCACTGGACAAGTCTGAACAAGTTTGACCCATGTATGTGCGAGGCAGGCAGTTTTGTACAATAACATAATCTATCGGTTTAAAGATATCGACCTAATTTTGACATCTGACCGATAGGGAAATTACCAACCTTTGTCCCACATGACGTCACACGGGATCAACCGTGCATACCAGTTACAAAAAAAAGACAGATTGCAATAGCAAACAGAGAACATTAAAATACAAAAATTTAATTTTACCGTACACCACACTGCTTTTAATGCCAACCGCAGACGTCTTCAGCTAACAGCCATCATAAGGGCTAAATGGGGTGAGGACCTAATTAAAAATGCTCGACTCTGCAGTTTTCATTTGATAACAGTTCACGCTATGCTAAATCATACAAATTACTTATTATTGTTTGCAGCAATGATTTCAGCAAAGTTACATGTAAATATGGGGAAATGAACTGCGGACATTGAATGCTTAGAATGAAATGTAAACATGTAAGTTCATATACCCTGCCGTACAGGTGGAGTTCGCTGTCAAAATGCAGTTGTTTTGCTTGTTGGTGATTACCCATGCCTTGTACAGCTCCGTCTTCTTTCTGTGTCTTTGGCTCGGCAGAACCTCAGTTGTTAGCAATACATAGATTTTGAATCTGGTAATCTTGGAATATTATTTCTTGCACATGACCACACAGAATAAAATTGCTGGCATCTTGTAGGCTTTTAACTTCTTTCTTGTAAAATCACTTGGAGTTTTAATTACATTTTGTCTTATATATATATATACTGTATATATATATATAATGCTAATACGAGCTTCGATCTTAAAACATTTTAGTAATTATTTAGGGATTACAGTTTTTTTTAGTAATTCCTAATTTATCTTTCAGAAATTACAAAATCCAGCAACTATTTTAATTTGATAATTTCGATCTCAGGAAATTTTGTGCTTAACATTATTAGTATAGTAATATAGTATAATAATCTAGTCTTTCATTGTAATGTCAGTATTGTTTATTATCAGTAAGGCAGTATTCATGTTTAAATGTGATTAAAATCTTCTGTAACATTGTAATAGTCTTTACTGACATTGTGTATTTTTGAAATATCAATATTTGTTAATGTTTTTGTTTTAAGAAGTCACATAATTGTAATATTTGATCAAATTAATAAATAAAGCCTTAGTGAACAAAAGAATTTTCTTTAAAAAATATACAGCAAAATGTTAACATTTCCAAACTATGTATCAGACATCTTTAAATGTGCCTGACTCTAGATGTCTTATATAAATGCTTCTTTTGGGACTAGAACTGTATTCTATACTAAATATTTGTAATCCAGGAACTCCAAAACAACACAGTATAAATACAAAATCACTTTTAAATAACATTATGAAGTTATGCTAAACTTGCTTTGACATATTTATTTAATCAACTACATATAAATATTTCATTATGCCCTAGTTTATTTAAACACTATTGTATTTTCTAGCAGATACACATGGCCTCTGTTTCATAATGGTTTTAAAGTACATAACATAATCTCTTGGGTATCTTAATTATATTGACAGCCAAATAATTATATTGAAAACAAGCCCACAAGATTGAATATGAAATATCACTTCAGTTAAAGGATTCCTGTATTACATTTTCTCAGGGCTTAGTAACTCATATTAAGGACTGTGAGTTGTGTAAAGTAAAAATTGTGTCAAGCTCTGTTAAAGTTTTTTGGGAGGTAAAGTAACAGGAGACTTCTTACAAGATACAAATATCAACAAATGAATATTACAAATAGTAGCTTCCCTATAATGACAAGAATTCAAACTCTGGGAAGACAGCTTGGGCATGTTGTAACTTGACTATATATATCAGTGCATGAAAAAAAAGTCTGCATATTACAAATCATTTTAAGGATCACTAGTATAATCTATTTGTTTTTTTCATCTCTATCATTTAAGACACAGTTTACAAAATTACATTTTTATCACTGTATGATGAAAACATTGAAAAATTGGCTACAATGAAAAATGAAAGGCTTTGTTTAGGCATTTAGAAAACCGTTGTACAAAAGTTCACAAAAGAAGCAAGGCCATTTTATACATTATATATTTCACCTGTGAGACTTAAAACTTTGCAATATGATACATTTTTAACAGCATAGCTCTAGGATAAGTTCAATTGAAGCATTTGCATATGAATAACGGCATTTTTGCTATTAAATGGGAGTAGTTCCAACTATTTCATATAAAAAAACCTTTCTTAAAAATGGCCTTGAAAAACACTACAAAATTTTAGTCAACAGAGAGATAAAACTCTTAAAATGTTGCAATCATAAGTGCATGCCTGGATATTTTCAAGGTTATGATGACCCTTTTATAAACATACACAAATAAAAACAGACAAGAGGGCTTGTCAAAGAAAATTTTAATTTAAATGCCATGTGACCTTGCAGACTTGGTTTGCTAACACAGAAAACCGAGGTGTATTACTAGTTACTAGTGATTTGCTGTAAGTACAATAATGTACTCACAGAAATTTATTCTTCTTTTATAACTATATATTTTATCTGCAACACATTTTTTTTCTTTCTAGGTGACTATGTGGTGATGACTGTATATTTTGACCTTAGTAGAAGAATGGGATACTTCACAATTCAGACCTATATCCCTTGCATATTGACTGTGGTTCTTTCCTGGGTCTCCTTCTGGATAAAAAAGGATGCAACACCAGCTAGAACAGCACTAGGTACGTGTGGTAAATACAGACACTTAATCCTTGTGCGGTTCATTTATGTTTCATGATTTATTTCACTGTTATTTCAAATCAGCAAATACACTTTGATGTGAAACATGTTTAAGGCTATAGTGAATACTCAGAATTATTGTTCTAATAAATACAAAAATCTAGATTGATAAGCACTCACCGGCCACTTTATTAAGTACACATTACTAGTACTGTGTTGGACCCTTTTTTGCTGTCAGAAATGCCTTAATCCTCCGTGGAATAGATTCAACAAGGTTCTAGAAATATTCCTCAGAGATTTTGTCCATATTGACATGATAGCATCACACAGTTGCTGCAGATTTGTCAGCTGCACATCCATGATGCGAATCTCCCATTAAACCATATGCCAAAGGTGCTCTATTGGATTGAGTTCTGGTGACTGTGGGGGCCATTTGAGTACAGTGAAGTCATTGTCATGTCTGAGATGATTTGCACTTTATGACATGGGCTTAAATGCATTGAGTTGCTGCAATGTGATTAGCTGATTAGAAAATTGCGTTAACAAGCAGTTGGACAGGTGTACATAATAAAGTGGCCGGTGAGTGCAGCACAGTGCATTATTTGTTTTCAAATTTTGTAAAATCCATTTGATAAAAAGGGGAACTATATGTTGTCTTGGTAGTTCTTTTCTACTGTTTTAGGGGTGTCTTTTTTCACATTCATTCTTGTGTCACAAACACACTTCATGTTTTTGTTGGCTTTATTCATTTCTTTATAGTTTCCTGCTTTAAGTCCATGTCCTGTCCTGGTAAATGTCACTGTTGTCAAGGTAATTTTTCTTTTATTTTTTTCATAAAATTTTTCATTTTTGTATCTATCTATCTATCTATCTATCTATCTATCTATCTATCTATCTATCTATCTATCTATCTATCTATCTATCTATCTATCTATCTATCTATCTATCTGTCTGTCTGTCTGTCTGTCTGTCTGTCTGTCTGTCTGTCTGTCTGTCTGTCTGTCTGTCTGTCTGTCTGTCTGTCTGTCTGTCTGTCTGTCTGTCTGTCTGTCTGTCTGCCTGTCTGTCTGTCTGTCTGTCTGTCTTTCTGTAAAATAAAAATCTGTTATTACCTGTTTCCCTATTTATTTATTTATTTATTTATTTTTGTGGTTATGAATTACATTATGGGATGTTGATCTCTGCTCTGTCAATTTTTTATGTTAAAAATTCAGATTAAGACAGTTAACTCATTGACATTTTAGCAGTTAGACAAAAAATATTGTTTAAGAAACAATACTTAGAGAAATAAGTTGCAATAAGTACAGAAAATGTACTGGCAGCTTATTACCAGGTGTTTTGCAGCATAATATACACCAACCCAAAAAATATATCACTTTAAACTAATAAAAGAGTTCATAAAAGTCATATTTTCAAGATTAAAAGTTGTTGGAGGAAAGACCAAGGTCCCATAATGCAAGTCAAAAGCTTAAATAAGTGGGGGAAAAACATGAATCACAAAATATGGGAACTATAAATTTACATGGATTTTTTACTTTCTATCTATCTATCTATCTATCTATCTATCTATCTATCTATCTATCTATCTATCTATCTATCTATCTATCTATCTATCTATCTATCTATCTATCTATCTATCTATCTATCTATCTATCTATCTATCTATCTATCTATCTATCTATCTATCTATCTATCTATCTATCTATCTATCTATCTATCTATCTATATCTATCACAGTAATTGCACTTTGTTGTATTTTAAGTAATGTTTTTGTTTAATTTTGACTGTTGCGTCATTCATTTCCATATTATTTTTTTAAGGCCTTTATTTACATTTTGAAATACCTTTTGTTGCTTTATAATATTAGTGAGTATCTCGGAACCTGTTCATAATGTGAAGAACAATAATAATGGCTTCAATGGCATCAATTTGATGCTTCAAATTCAGCATTTGGTGCCACGGGTGGTTGCAAGAAAGCAGACCCAGTTGCAGCAATGAACTACACTAAGCCGTTTATTGACACAACAAGGCACAAGTAGACAGACAAGATCCAAACGGTAGGGGCAACAACACAAGGAAGCCAGTGGTAGAGACAAGATGGTACTAAAATGAACAGCCAGCCAGGAGCAACAGTGGTCAAAACCAGAGCTAGATCCTGGAGCAAGCCATGTAAACTCCAGACTGGCAGGCCCGGGAGGTCAGGACACGGGATGGTACTGGAAAATTATAATACACAAAAAAAGGACAGCAAACAGGCAGCAATAATATACAAATAATAATAATATAAGAAAATAAAATATAAATACTAGGAGAGAAAGACTGACTGACACAATTTGACAAACAAAACTGAAATGAAGACCTCTAGAATCTTAAAGAGAGTAATTAATCAAATCAAACAACAACTAATAATCAACTACTAATAAGACTAAGACTGACAGAAAAATGGAACAAAAATGGTTGTAAGGATAAAAGTAAAATAAAGATTGGAACAAAAAATTAAGTAAACACTAGAAACAAACAAAAGAAAATAGTATCTACAAAAAAACAATAAGTAGACAAGAGAACTAGAACAGGCAAGACAAAAAAAAGCTCAGTAAAGATACAACGCAAGGATACAAGACCAGCTCACATGAAACGAACCAGCAAAGAAATGAGAGAACACAGCACAATATATAGAACAGGGGTCTCAAACTCGCGGCCCTCAGTGCAATATTTTGTGGCCCGCGCCGACCGCTGTACACTGGAGTGGGGTGGGGGTGTTTTATTTATACATATATACGCCCTTTTTTTAGGTGAGGGCAGGCACGTGCACACATAGGGCTCAACCTGTGCAGTGCACATGCCCTTTTTAGTCTTGGATAGAAAGTGCCCTTCCAAAATGATCAAAAGTGACAACACCGCTCTTGAGTACGCGCGCGACAACACAGCTGATCAGTACGCGCTCATCCACTCTGCAGATCTGCACCAATCACCCCCCCCCCCCCCTCCCCAAGTTACATACTGAGGGTCTCAACTGCTTCCGCTCTAAAGCCAAATGTGGTTCAGATTTGTGAAAAGAAGTGCTGTCAAGTCTCTGGCAGCAAGGAGTAGGCAAAAGATGCCATGTTCAGAAGAACTGTTCATAATCTTCACTCAATGTTCTATTAATGTTCAGGACACTTCATGTTCAGAAGAAATAATTAAAACTGTTAATAATGACATTTGAGGACTTTTTTTTGTGTGAAATCCCTTATGCGGCCCAGCCTCACCCAGACTTGGCCTCCTGCGGCTCCCAGGTAAATTGAGTTTGAGACCCCTGATATAGAACAAAGCACACGAAAGACAGGTGAAAACAATCAGGTTAAAAAGGTCTAAAAAAGAGGGCTGGGTAACTGAAAACGAGGAAAGACAAGAAGAGCACATGGCCAACACAAAATAAGACACAGCAATTTAAATAAGCACAGGACTGCTGGATAAGTTGGTGGTTCATTCCCCTGTGGCGACCCCCGATTAATAAAGGGACTAATGAATTAATGAATTAATTTATTTATTTATTTTTGATATCCGAAGAACCTTTCAGTGAACAGTTCCTAAAAAAAAAAAAAAAAAAAAAAAAATTGCATTTTTACATAAAAGAACAGTTTACAAAATAACCTCTACTGTAAAAACATGCTGGGTTCCACACAATCGATTTGAGTTGGGGCAATATGAAGGAATTGAGTTAACTTTTCAGTTTTTACAAATGTAAGTGGATTAAACAAAACAATGAAGTTGTTTTCAAAAAAAACCTCAAGAATTGTGTTATTCCTTATTTAAATAAGTACTTTGAACAAAAAGCAAATGTCACTTTTTGAGTGTATTTCCACTCTAAACAAACTTTAATGAATAGAAAATGTGTTAAAAGTTCTTCTTAAAACCATCAATGCCAATGAAGAACCTTTATTTTTAAGAGTGTTTTCTGTCTTGTTTAGCACACCACAGATCAAGCGAGTTTTCTCAAACTAACAAGCAGGATCAGTGACGGTCAAAAAAACAAGATCATAGTTTGACATAAATTGGTTATCTTCACCAATACTATACTGTAGCTCAATGCAAAGAAAATGAGAAGCAAAGGCTTGCACAATATATGTTTGGAAGAAAAGAAATAAACTGGCAACATACTCTGCAGAAGAAAAAGAAGGATGAATGCAATTAATCTGTCTGACAAAAGAAGTCATTACACCTTCAGTAGAAAGAAAAGGGAGCAGGAGAAAAAGTAGAGATTTGCTTTACAGGCGTCCGGTTGATCGATGAAGTCCAGAGAGAAAGGCAGCCGAGATAAAATGGGAGAGAGAGAGGGGGGGTTTGGGGCTTACAGCTGTGGAAATGTCAGGTCAGAAAAGGATGTGACCAAAACAGAACCTGGAAGAATGGTGAGAGGTCATGTATAGGGTGACAGTCCACCACAAGCAGTTCTTTTCACACCTAAAACATTAACAATAATGATAACAGTGTAATCACATCAAGGCACAGTAATGTTATTTATTATTAACACTTGCTGCAGCTTGTTATATGAAGTTTTAAATGCTCTTGAGCTCTTCAAAGCAGGGCGATTCTAATTGGCTTGCAGTGTTTCAAAAATCGGAGTGTAGGTCTCAAAATATTGTTTCCCTATGCTGCAGTAATATTTGTGGTATTAAATTAGTTATTGTTTAGCGTAGTATAGAAGATTTTTAGAACTATGACAAGAGAGAAAGTGTGAGAAATTCAGAATTTATATGGTTTTTCTAGTGTTTGAATACATTGTTAATATTTACTTAATTCTATAGAGTCTGTTAACATTTTCTACCGATTTGAATTGAAAGTATTATCACTATTATAGCATTATTTTCCTTCAGAAAAGGACAGTTGAAATTGAAAATGAAGTGAAAATACCAAATGTTTTTCAATTGTCATGGTTTTGGAAATCAGAGTTATTCAAATATTAATTTTGTAACTAAATAAAGGTAAATCAACTATTGTGTTATTTAAAGCTAAATATAAACATGTCTGGGACAAGATAAAATCTTATTGTTTTTTTGAACATTTTTTCATAGATGTTCTAAATAATTTTTACTGTAACTTTTCTTTTTTTGATTTAAAGAAATGTAACCTATGATCAAGCAGAAAATGCTCAGGGGTAGCTTAAATAATGTGTCTGTGCTCTATGGGTAAGGAATTCATCAGAATAAATAGCAAAACTCAATCCAAGGTACTCGAAAAACGTGTAAAAAAATATTAAAAACTCTTTATTGACATGGCTATTCCTTAAAACTGCGCCAACACATTTTGGCAAACACTTGCCTTCATCAGGGTCAGGGAGATCAGGTGCGTCTGGAGTTTCTTTTGAACACTATGATCTCATGACTCATTAGAATATCCAAACAATACTAAAATAATATATTGAACTCAAAGTCAACTCAACAATCATTTTTAATTCAGCATTGAAAGGAAAAGAAATATGGGTGTTATACAACATATTTCTCAAATAATACTACGTGAATGTATATAGAATGAAACCACAGAAAAAGGTATAAACATAAACTAGGTATGAACATAAACATGGATATATACACACACACACACACACACATACTTGATTTTACACTATTTAATCCTGAAAGTTTAGTTGCTCTATTTATATTTAGTATGCTCTATGCCAACTATTTTTAAGGAACTGGGATTGACATGACCTTGATTTTTATGATGTATAGCCATTTGATATTTGGGATTACAAGTGTGGATCGCATTTTTATGCTACGCTAATCTCAATTAAATTTTTCTCCTAGTCATTCCTACTGTATATAGAAGCA